GGAGCTTCTGACCACTTGTGACTGGCCCATCGAGGAGGACCCGACGAAAGACTACGATCTGCTTCATAGACGCTGAGAGCCTGTGGTGAAAGTGCCACAATGCCTCGCACAAAGAACTTAAGACGGATTTCGAAAGCCACCAAGGATCTGCTAGAGAGGAGAAGAGCACTGAGACTGGATCTGACTGCATCACATTTCGAGCGGCTGGTAGCCAATACCAGTAGCAGAACAGCTTTGCAAGAAGATCTTCGAAAGTACAGGCAATTGAAACTCTTCGAAGCAGCACAAGGAAGAAGCCTAAAGAAGTACCGCAGGAACCTTCTCGACTATCGTGTTCCGCTGAAAACATTACGAAGACGGGGCTCGCACATCTTCCCGACAAAAGACAGTCGACCACGAAGAGATTCTACACCAATCTCTTTCGCTCGTCAACACCCGTGTCAAACCATTATTCCCACTGGAGAAATACCACTAAGGATTCTACCTGCTGAAGTACGCGCTGCAATCCAGACCATGAAGGCAGCCACAGCTCCGGGACCGGGCCATGTTTCAGTCGACCTCTTACGAGCTGGAGGACGTCGCCTACACAAGATACTCGCGAACATCTAACGTCCTACCTTCAAAAGGAAAGGATCCCCGACCAGTTTAAAACCTCCTGACAATCTTTCTTCATAAGAAGGGCGAAGGGGAGGATCTTGGAAATACTTCCAGTATGCCTGCTGAGCGTGCTTTACAAGCTCTTTACGAAGATTATTCTTTGCTCGCATATTAAGGACAGTGGATGAAGCCCAATCTGTAGAACAAGCTGGATTTTGCCAGGGATTTCAGCTGCGAGGATCACATCCAGACAGTTTAGAGGATTATCGAGGTTTGACAAGAGTACCGCCTACCTCTCGTCCTAACCTTCTTTGACTGTGAGAAGGCGTTTGACAGCCTAATATCCTACTGTCAGCGTTCGTCGACCAAGTGGTGGTGCCATCTTATGTGAGGACATTGGCCGACTGCTACAGGAACTGCTCTATAACGGTATAGCTTTTCCATCGTCCGCTTAACATACCAATCTCGAAGGGGGTTCGACAAAGCGAAACTGTGTCGCCAAAGCTGTTTACCGCCGTGTTGCAGTGGGCGATGAAATCACTGGATTGGAACGAAAGAGGTATACGAGTTGATGGGAGATTCCTCTAGAACCTATGTTTTGCGGGCAACATTGTTCTCTTCTCAGAAATATCACTAAAGCGGAGACGATGTTGAAGGAACTAGACCAAGTAGGGAAGCAGGACTGCGAATCAACCGGAAGAAGACTCAGTTCATAAAGAACGCTTTTTGCGAGAATTAGGAAATGGAATTAGAAGGTCTAATCGCAAAGACATCTTCTTCCGTATACCTCGGGCGTTTGACGAAAATAGAGAACGATGTGAAAGAAGAACTAAATAGAATGCAAAAAGCAGCTTGGGCCGCCTTCGGGCCCCTAAAGGAAGCCATAGACTAGCTGACGGACCCAGAGCTCCGAGCCTACCTTTTCGATTCAAGTGTTCTCCCTGCGCTCTGCTGCGCAGCAGAAACGCGGCTTGCTTCGAGCTAACAGAGCGCTAAAACGACGTTTCTAAAGTACAACCGACATACCAAAAATTTCGTCGGACTTCGTATTCAGATACGAGATAATGTCTCGTCCTCGCGATCCAGCGAAATACGTCTTTAAGGCAAAGCATCGATGGACTGGTAATATAAAGAGAAGAATAGCCATTTTGGAGTGGATTCCTCGCGAAGCAAAACGTCCTCGAGGGAAGCCAACGACCAGAAGGGCTGATGTGTTCCTTACACGGATGGACCAGCTGAATTCTCAGTTGGTAACGAATAATGGATCTGGACCTCGCTACGTCGCCGTTCAATCTCAACATCACGGAGCGAGAGACAGAAACGGATGGAAGCAGTACTGTGGCCTGCAGGACAACTGAAGACAGGCCATCTAAGTATCTAAGTAAGTATACCAAAGTTGAAAAATGTGTAGTTCTGAATTTTTGAGAATATCCAGCTCGACTGTGAGTCATACTACCGTTGATGTAGCAGCACTTTCCAGCTATATCAGCGGTAGTATGACTCAAAAGGTTTTGGAAGCAAGCGCCAGCATCAATCACAAGAGCATGAATCCTTCGAAATTGAAATATGTTGACAAAGTTGATGATTTTAATGTCAAAGAGGAAGAAACCTACAACAGTTT